AGGGAGTGATCTCATTACTTCAGAGATTGTGTTTTCCATTTGGATGACAAACTTGTGCAAGCAGAGAGAGGAAGAACAAGACAAAAGGACTGAGATTTTGTGGGTGGGTTTGAAGTGAGGCAGGACTAACATTGGCCAAGTGTGAGGAATTTATAGTGCGGACCCGTGCATGGACTCAGTGAATGACATACTTCCCCTCCCTTCCCAACTGAGTTGTCTCGCTTCGCTTGCTTGAGAAGTGCAAAACCACACTCTTCAGTGTTCACTGGACCCCTCATCCTATGCCGGAATACATTTTAGCTTCCTCTAAGAAGTTGACTGCTGAACCCCATGGATGATCCAGAACATTCAGATGACATGCCAAAAGTCTAATGAGTCCCCCTCTATGCATGCATGAATCTATTTTTCAAAACGAATAAACCAAAAGCTAGGGATTTATATATATTGCATCAAGTCTTCACCACTAGCGCAGTATTTTCTACTAGATAAGCATCATCGATCTCAAGATACCGGTAGAAAAAGTTTTGTTATGGTGATCGAATATGCCCGAGTTTCTCATGTGATCAATGGTTCTTATGCATAAAAACTCTCAAATCTGGACGATTTTCCTAATAAACCCAAAAACTCCAACTTTACTCAAATTTTCTTTTCAGGCAAAAAGAAACCTATCCCATTTTCCCTTTTCATGTAAATAGTATGTTTATATGAGGGAGGGCGAAAATTTTAATGTGAGATTTGGTGATTTGTTTCTCATGATTTAGAGAGAATCGAAATCGGTATCAATATTCACTGCTACAAAATCACAAATTTTATGAACCTTTTTAGAGTTGGGGATTAATCCAATAAGTTCAGACATCCTAACATGCATGCATACATATACTTGATTTAAAGTATAATAAATAGAAGTTTCTGGAATTTCATGTGCATCAAACAAAGAATTTCAGCCTATTGTCTGAGCTTCAGCACGACCAACTATCTTCTTTTTTTTTTATAGTTTTGTTGGGGGAAAAACAATGTTGCACACTTTTATGATTGAGAATAGACCTCCATTAGTGTCCTCATGTGAAATAGAAAAAAAAAAGAAATATCTTTTGGGCCTTCTTGTTGAAGTTCAACCCTTGTTCCCAAAGGGTTGCACTTTTTCACCTGGACCTACATGGCGATGGCACTTTCAGTTTTTCTTTCCCCCACATGTTTCATCGGCTAACCATTTGTCTATGAGTTTCTAATATAAAAATAAGCAATAAAAAAATTGGGTAGAACTTTTCATGGTTAAGCCACGTCATAGGAAAATTTGTCCAAAAATTCATAAACTTATTACACTTTTTACCAATTCAATCTTAAACTTTTAATTTTGCCAATTGAATCCTAATCCTTTTCAAGTTTTGCCAATTGAGCCACTCCTCGCAGTACTAGCTCGCGGTCGCGATCCTACTCAAGCGTGACTTCCCCGACCGGATAGGCGACATCGAGCTGTATGATCCTGAGTTCTTGCCTGCGGACTGCAAGGCCCTGGAGATGCTGGGCCTCCGGGTCCTGCCTGCCAACGAGCACTTCCAGAGGCCCGCCGACAAGCCGACCCTGTTCTTCCTGCCTTCCGCAAACCGTTGGCACGTGGGGAACGTGCTCGAGGCCAATTGGTGCGCGACCAGGTCGAACCGGATGATAATTTTCTCAAACTCACTGGATATTGAGAACCAGGATCAGAAGCTCGCAGAACAGTATGGATTTTGGAATCAGCAAGTGTACAATGGCATACTCCACGAGTATGCAAAGAAATTCTACATCCCCACCGATTTTCATCGCTCTCATCTCTGCATCTTTGGCAACCTCTCTTTCAGCTTCTTCGACATCGACCCTAAGGTTGATTTAGCGAGCCTCTTGCCAGGTATCTTTGAGTTTCTTGACTCGATAATCGTACATGTTTCGTGTCAGCTTCGAATCAATCGGTGCGTCATTTCATTGGTGTTTGTTAGTTTGTCAATGATTAACATTTGAATGCGTTAAGAACATGCTGAAGGACTTTATAGAACTCGTTCTTGATAAACAACCAACTGCAATTACTCGTGATTATCGAGCAAAACCCGCTCGAAAGGCATAGGAATATAGGATTATTCGACCAAGGATATGCAGAGTTTGAACATGCCGATTCTGAAACTGTCACACCTAGAACAATGACCCGGAATTTAAATGACTTCATTCACCTTGTTTGGGAGATTCATATTTTGAAGAGACGATCAAAGATCACCATGTGGATTAGCGGATCATTAAGTATGAAAGAGGGTATTTTCATGTGCTTTCACAGTAGTTTCATCAAAGTAAAGCTGTTTACCTTTTCTTTTTAATAGGTTAACGAGATTATTATGATTTCTGTGGTCTTACTCTGAAATTGCTGATGGACTTTGACCTCCTTCTTGTAGATGATTTTAAGCAAAGGAGAAAGGAGAGGCAGCAGAAATCCGACAACACGGAGCGCGATCATAACCACGAATATGCAGGAAAGTAAGCAACGTCGATCTTAATGTGTTTCATGTGAACAGAATCCCTGCACATCAAGGTCTCCTAATTTCTTTTACCCCGACATCTTCGCACGTTTCTGTCCATGCAAGCATAAACAGTAACTTAAATATATTAATTCAATTCAGCCTTCGCCTAATTCCAATACACATTGTTGGAAAAATGATACGTTGTGCCTTTGTCGCACTAATTCGTATGTCTTGACGATGTGTGCATATGCATGAACTGTGTAGGATTGAGATTTCATGCGATTTTAACCGTTCAGTCACATCAATGGGAGGTTCAGTCAATCGAGCTGGACCATTCATTGTTCGGAGGAAAAACATTGTCTCGTGAAATATGAATGTGCACGAGATGGAACTTATACATTATATTTGGGCTCGGATAGAGATGATGCGAGCTTGCTGAGATAAAACTACTCATTCCAATAGACTGCAATTCCTAACCGCTTCTAATTTCATGGACACAATTTGCAGCGTCTTGAGTTCTTTCGGGAGCAGTTCAACGACTTCGATCCATTGCACGGATACCGTTTTCCTCGGCGACACCGCTGCAAGTGGCAGCCGCCTCCCACCGGTTGGTTGAAGCTGAACTTCAGCGGCAAAGCCCGTGATGGAGTCTCGCCTGCGGGCTACAGCAGGATCCTCCGCGATGAGTACTGGAACATGATCGCGACGTACAGCTGTAGCCTCGGCGAGCTAGTGGACGCCACGGTAGCGAATGCAGAGGCGCTGAGAGTGGGCATGAGGCTGCTGGAGGATGTTACCGGAGGAGTGAAACAATTGGTCATGGAAGGGACGGATCTCAGCGTTGTGAGATGGGCCAACTCCTGGCCGGAGCCGCCAGAGAAGATCAAGGAAGCGGTGGACGACATCCTCAAAGTTGTGGCACGGATCAAGACGGTGATTTACCCCGTGTACGAGAAGGCCAACGAGGCCGCGATCGCGTCGGCTAAGGAAGGTGCAACGTCGCAAGATCGACGTGTTTGGATTTCCTCCGAGATAAGAGGTAAATGGGCTAAAAATCTCGCAAAGCTAACCATCAAGGGATTCGGTTGAGATAATTAGTGGATTTAAGCTAATCACTGACGTTTTCAGTATTATAAACTCAACTTTGATGTTCACAACATGTTCTTTTGACGCATGACTTTCTTGAATTTCTGCTACATTCTTGGCATTTCTCTACCCCGGATCAATCCAAACACGAAAGTTGCGGAGTTGAGAGCCAACTCAACCCGCTTTCATTTTCCCTGAGCAGCTGACGCAAATGGAATAACCAAGCGACAGAAAAGAGAGAGAAGAAGAAGAGGGCAAAAGCAAGAAAGGGGCAGAGGGAAAAACAGTGAAGAGTCAGCTGCAGGAAAATCGAGAGAGAGAGAGAGAGAGAGGCAGGGGAAGTGGGTTAATCCAATAAGTTGGGGATTAGTCCAATAAGTTCAGACATCCTAACATGCATGCATCATGCATGAACATACACTCGATTTAAGGTATGATATATAGGAGTTTCTGGAATTTGGTGTGCATCAAACAAAGAATTTTAGCCTGTGGTTTGAGCTTCAGCAAGACCAACTGTCTTATTTCATTAGTTTTGGAGGCAAAGAACAATGTTGCACAACTTCAACGATTGAGATTAGACCTCCATTAGTGTCCTCATGTGAAATAGAAAAAAAAAAACATCTTTTGGGCCTTCTTGTTGAAGTTCAAACCTTGTTCCCAAAGGGTTGCACTTTCAGTTTTTCTTTCCCCACATGTTTCATTATCCACTCCTTTTGGGTTACTATTTGTCTATGAGTTTCCAATATACAGATAAACAATAAAAAAAAAAATTTGGGTAGAACTTTTCATGGTTAAGCCTCATCGTCATAAAGCTCCATTGCCTCCTACTCCTTTTAAAATTAATTAGACATGTTTCTTTACATTAATTAAAAAAAATTGATATCATGTAATCTAATATAATTTTTCTAGAACAATATATTAACATCGGTGGATTATGGATGAATCTTTTTCTCAACCCGTAAATCAAAACTAGGGATTTATAATATGCATCAAGTCTTCACCACTAGTAGGGAGCATTTTTTTGTTAGATAAGCATCATGGGTCTCATGTAGGGCCGGCAAAATGGGTTTAACTCATATTTAAAGCCCAAAAAAAAGGTCAAGAATAGTTCACTAGAGTCCATTTATTTCACGAAAAATGAGTGATTTGAAAAATATTTTTCAAAAACTGATTGCTTGTACCGCTTAAAATAATTAATTAATAAAAAATGTTTCATTATCGACAGCAATATATCTAAACATTTTCGTAAAAAATAAAAAAAAGTTCCGTTCATTGTTTTTGTAATAAATATAAGTGATTATTTTTTGAAAAATATTTTTTAATTCACTCTTTTTTCGTAAGACAAACGGATTCTAAACGTTACGGCCTAAATGTGATTTTTTTGGGTAGCAATGGCCACCGTAAAAAGTACGAAACTGCCTATGTTTTACTTCACTCCAGAAGCCACACTCAACAATACTAAATACATCTCAAGTAAAAACACACACTCCTAGCTAATTATGATTAACCGTTGTCGCACGTTGTAGTAGAGAAGTGATCAGACATTGCCCCAGTCGAAACTGGAATAGTTTGCGAAATTGCTGCATGGAGATGGCATGTAGCCATAGTCAAGCTCATCGCCGTAGCTGTCATATGAGAAATCAAATAAGGTCGATGATCCATCCTCTGCTTCTGCGTGTGGCTGATAGGTGAGAGTGTTGTTGTAGTCTAATGAAGTGTCATCCAGAGGCTGCAATGGCGGGAGCGATTCCATTAACTCTTCCACTGACATCTGCATTCAAAACAATGTAGATCATATAAAACAACCCATCTTAAGTACCTTTACAGAAACAATCCTGAAGTATGAAATGAAAATAGTCCCAAAGATGTTGCTATTGTGATTATGCAGTCATTAGTATTTTGGAATAGAAAACCAATGAGTCTCTGTGACTTTGATATGGTCTATTGGTCTTGGGACTAAACCCCATGCTATATAAGTTCTACAAAATAAAATGCTCGTCTCTCACCTCGGCTTGAGCATCAACTGCTTCTTGGTTATCAGCAACTTCGTTGTTGGGGGTGTCACAGAAGCTGGAATGGTACCCTTCTTGATACACAGGGGTCCCTGATACATTGCTAGTGTATGCGTGAGGGCTGCTTGAACAGCCTTCGGGGCTGACTGTCGGAGCGTGAGCCGTTATCAGCTTCTTCTCTTTTTTGTTCTTGATCCGACATGCCACGTAAGGTGGCATCTGCATATATATCATGAACAACATTAGTAACAGAGAAACAGCCCGTACTACAGAGCGTGTCTCAAATATTATTTATAACCAATTGCGTTCTGCAAATGAATGAGAACCAAAACGTTACCTCATCTGCGTTGTGATTATGGCCCAAACACTCAGGATTTAGGTGGTACTCGTGAGACACCCAGTTGGTCCTTTTGCCTTTAGGCACGCGGCCCTCGTAGAACACCAGTGTCTTCTTGATTCCTATCGGCGCATTGGTGTCCTCGCTCATGATGGCGCGTTCCTTGCCCGTTACTTTCCAGTAACCGGCTTTGGTTGTGCGGTCGGAGCGCTTGCTGTTAAAGTACTTGCGCTTCAAATGACAAAAGAAAAACAGCTCCTTACTGTTGAACATGTGACGGAACATGGCGGGCAATTGCCAAGGTTCGAATTCACATACATCGATCTCCGGTATTACATCGTAGTAGTGTTCGCCGGGTTGTCCCAGTATTTTGGGCTTCAAGTATTGAATCAGAAGCTCCTCATCAGTGGCATGGAATCTGAATCCTGGAGGGAGTGATCTCATTACTTCAGAGATTGTGTTTTCCATTTGGATGGCAAACTTGTGCAAGCAGAGAGAGGAAGAACAAGACAAAAAAGGACTGAGATTTTGTGGGTGGGTTTGAAGTGAGGTAGGACTAACATTGGCCAAGTGTGAGGAATTTATAGTGCGGACCCGTGCATGGACTCAGTGAATGACATACTTCCCCTCCCTTCCCAACTGAGTTGTCTCGCTTCGCTTGCTTGAGAAGTGCAAAACCACACTCTTCAGTGTTCACTGGACCCCTCATCCTATGCCGGAATACATTTTAGCTTCCTCTAAGAAGTTGACTGCTGAACCCCATGCATGATCCAGAACATTCAGATGTCATGCCAAAAGTCTAATGAGTCCCCCTCTATGCATGCATGAATCTATTTTTCAAAACGAATAAACCAAAAGCTAGGGATTTATATATTGCATCAAGTCTTCACCACTAGCGCAGCATTTTCTACTAGATAAGCATCATCGATCTCAAGATACCGGTAGAAAAAGTTTTGTTATGGTGATCGAATATGCCCGAGTTTCTCATGTGATCAGTGGTTTTTATGGATAAAAACTCTCAAATATGGACGATTTTCCTAATAAACCCCAAAACACTAACTTTACTCAAATTTTCTTTTTAGGCAAAAAGAAACCAATCCGTTTACCCTTTTCATGTAAATAGTATGTTTATACGAGGGAGGGCAAAAATTTTAATGTGGGATTTGGTGATTTGTCTCTCATGATTTAGAGAGAATCGAAATCGGTATCAATATTCAATAATCACAAATTTTATGAACCTTTTTAGAGTTGGGGATTAATCCAATAAGTTCAGACATCCTAACATGCATGCATACATATACTTGATTTAAAGTATAATATACAGAAGTTTCTGGAATTTCGTGTGCATCAAACAAAGAATTTCAGCCTATTGTCCGAGCTTCAGCACGACCAACTATCTTTTTCTTATAGTTTTGTTGGGGAAAAACAATGTTGCACACTTTTATGATTGAGAATAGACCTCCATTAGTGTCCTCATGTGAAATAGAAAAAAGAAAAATCTTTTGGGCCTTCTTGTTGAAGTTCAACCCTTGTTCCCAAAGGGTTGCACTTTTTCACCTGGACCTACACGGCGATGGCACTTTCAGTTTTTCTTTCCCCCACATGTTTCATCATTCACTCCTTTTGGCTAACAATTTGTCTATGAGTTTCTAATATAAAAATAAGGGCCTAATTCCCTAAAAAACCCTCAACTTTAACCTTTGTCCCAATTATATCCCAAACTTTTTCTTGTCTCATAAAAAACCTCAAACTTTCACTTTTGTCCCAAATCTACTCAATTAACTTTTCGTCCAATTTTTTAATATTATTTTTTCGAATTTTTTTATTTTTTCTTTTCTTTTCTTTTTTTTTTTGTTTCACCTTCAACCTCTGGCCGGTCGCCGGTCCGGCGACCGGCCAGAGGCGGGGGCCAGCGAGGTCTGCCCCGCCGGCCGCTGGCGAGGCTCGACCTCCCCGGCATTGGGCGAGGCCGACCTCGCCAATAGCCGGCGGGGCCGAGCCTCGCCAGCCATGGCGAGGCTCGGCCTCGCCGAATCCTAGCGAGGCCGAACCTCGCCGTTGTTGGGCAAGGCCGACCTCGCCGGTTCCGGCGGGGCCGAGCCTCGCCGTGGCTGGTGAGTTTCTTCCAGCGGTTCGCCTGAATTCGGCGAGGTGCGATCGAGATTCGCCATGGCTAGCTCCGGCGATGGAGAGAACGGCGAGAACCGCGGGACCGCAACGAGCCCGGCAATCCGTCATCGATAGACGCGTCCTCGGTGGAGTGCGGGTCGAGCTCGAGGGTCTCAAGGGGGACAGTCCGAGGAGATTGGGATGGCGGAGAGGCTGACAGACGTCTTCGTCGGGGGAGGCGACGAAGATCTGTTGATGCAGCGGAGTGATCGGGAGGATTGGGTTCTCAGGCGCTCGATATGCACGTGGTTGGGGCCTGCCGCTCGATATGCCGCTTGCCGGCGGGCCGATCTCGCCAATAGCCGGCGGGCCGAGCCTCGCCCCGGGCGAGGCTCGGCTCGCCTGCTGGCCATTGCGAGGTCGGCTCGCCCAACGCCGGCGAGCCCGAGCCTCGCCGGATCCGGCGAGGGCTCGGCCACGCCAAGCAACTCGGCGAGGTCGGCCTCGCCCGAATCTGGCGAGGTTCAGCCTCAGCCGTTCGGCGGGGCCGAGCCTCGCCGTGGTCGGTGAGGCTCGGCCCGCCGGCTTATTGGCGAGGCTCGGCCTCGCCCAACGCCGGGAGGCCGAGCCTCGCCCGGCCGGCGGGACCGACCTAGGCCGGCCCCGCCTCGGCCGGCCACCGGGACGAGACCGGGCCAGAGGTTGAAGGTGAAACAAAAAAAAGAGAAAAGGAAAGGAAAAAGAAAAGAAAAGAAAAAATAAAAAAATTCGAAAAAGTAAAAAATAATATTAAAAAATTGGACGAAAAGTTAATAGGGTAGATTTGGGACAAAAGTGAAAGTTTGGGGTGTTTTATGAGACAAAAAAAAGTTTGGGATATAATTGGGACAAAGTCTAAAGTTGAGGGTTTTTTAGGGAATTGGGCCTAAAAATAAGCAATAAAAAATTGGGTAAAACTTTTCGTGGTTAAGCCACATCATTGGGAAAATTATCCAAAAATTCATAAACTTATTTCACTTTTTGCCAATTCAATCCTAAACTTTTAATTTTGCCAATTAAATTCTAAACCTTTTCAAGTTTTGCCAATCGAGTCAATCTTAGCCAATTTTGATCGGAAATCGCTAACGTGGAAGTGGTACGGCCAGTGCTGTCGTGGACAATTTTTAATAATAGTTAATACATTTCAAATTTTTATTAATTTTTTATACTTTTCTTTTTGTTTCTTTTTTGGTTCAAAGGGTCAACGACCCCCACTGGCCCCTGGGTGAGGGCCACGAAGCCCTTGCCTGCTAGGGGCGAGGGTTCCAACCGTCACTGTGGTCTCCGAGGGCTTGAGTGAGGGCTTGCATGTCCTCACTGGCCACAGGAAGGGCTCGTGAGCCCTCGCCAGATCTGGCGAGGCGAGGGCATGGCGGTCCTCGCCAGCCATAACGCGGATGGGCGAGGGCTGCGACGCCCTTGTTGTGGCCAGTGAGGGGTCACAGCCCCTCGCCGGCTTCAGTGAGGGGCCGCGCTCCTTGCCTCGCCAGATCCGGGGAGGGCTCACGGGCCTTCCATGTGGCTTCAAGCCCAAAAACACAGGCCATAAATAGTTCACTAAAGCGGCCCACAATTTAACCTAATTTTCCAAAGCCCACACGGCCACACCCACTGCCCGCGCGAAGCCTTTGCATATAAGGGTCTCTTCCCTTCGCTTCGTCGACGAAGTTGTGGTTTCCTTCTTCTCCGCCGTCTTCATGGCATCCTCTCTCTGTTCCTGCTAGTTCCTCTATCTCCCGTTGTTTGCTCTGAATAATTATCGTCGTTGTCATTTGTTGGGTGATTTTTAGCAGTGATGATAAATGTTAATCCCAGCTCTACGAGACCTGTCACAGGTCGGGGAGTTGAATTCTTGTTTCCAACGTTTATCTGAGCCGTGAAAGTCCACCCATTTTTCTTCACAAACCGATTGCGACGATGGATGGTTTCCTTTGTTAATACGGAAAGTTTTCTGGGTTTGGTTCTGATTTTGATTTCGTTGTTTCATGTCTGTGTTGATGAATACGTCAGGAGACGGCATGGTTATATTCCCAATGCTGATTACGATTGAACCGTGCTAATGTGCCTGATCTTATATGAGTGTAAAGTTGTTTCCACTTGCTCTGAGGGAAGTGAATTGAATCGAATGATTTCTGTCTGTTTGAATGGCTCTTCTTAATGCTGAAATTCACCCTTTGAGGCTCAGTGAAGAAGGCCTATTTAAAAGAGTTGTTCTGTGCTTGTGGCCAGAAGAAAAGCAGATTCTGCTTTCAGATTTCTTGATTTCTGCTTGCATGGGACTTGCCCTGTTTCCATTTAGAATAGAAAACCAATGATTCTCTGTCACTTTGATATGGTCTGTTGGTCTTGGGACTAAACCCGATACTAAATAAGTTCTACACAATAAAATGCGTCTCTCACCTTGGGTTGAGCATCAACTGCTTCTTGGTTATCGGCAACGTTGTTGTTGGGGATGTTACAGAAGCTGCAATGTTCCCCCTTCTTGGTTACCACCCACTACCCACCCGAAGCCATAGCATATTAGGGTCTCTTCTCTTCGCTACGTTTCGCTTCGACGAAGTCGTGGTTTCCTTCTCCGTCTTCCTGGCATCCTCTCTCTTTTCCTGCCAGTGCCTCTATCTCGCGTTGTTTGCTTTGAATAATTATCGTCGTTGTCGCTTGTTGGGTGATTTTGGCAGTGATGACAAATGTTCTTATCCCAGCTCTACGAGACCTGTCACAGGTCGGGGAGTTGAATCCTTGTTTCCAACGTTTATCTGAGCCGTAAAAGTCACCCATTTTTGTTCGCAAACCGATTGCCATGATAGATTGTTTCCTTTGTTAGTACGAAAAGTTTTCTGGGTTTTCGTCTGATTTCGATTTCGTTGTTTCATGTCTGTGTTTATGAACACGTCAGGAGACTGCGTGGTTATATACCCAGTGTACCTGATCTTATGCGAGTGAAGAAGTTGGTTTCCACTTGCTCTGAGGGAAGAGCATTTCTGTCTGTTCGAATGGCTCTTCTTGATACTGAAATTCATGCTTTGAGGCTCAGTGAAGAAGGGTTATTTCAAAGAGTTGTCCTGCGTTTGTGGCCAGAAGACAGAGAAAAAAATTCTGCTCTCTGTTTGGACCGAAGGGAGCTCCTACGCGCTCTTCTCTCTGCGAGTGTAGTAGGTGTGGCCAAGTTGAGAAGCCTAATGCCGTCTCTGTTGTCATTGTTGGAAGTTTCTTTTTATGAAAATCGATTTAGTTGTTGCATATGACAGTAGCCAGAGGCAATGGCCGGTGGTGGAGCTGATTTTGATGGGTTGATCTGTCTTCTCTGACCATGATTTTATCATCAATTCATGGATTGCTTTCCAGGCCATCTGAAATAGAC